ATAGTTCTCAAGATAAAAGGTTATTTCCTAATTTTGTACCCAGAGATAGAAAATTTTCGAATGCAGCCTAAATACTTATCATCATAAATCGATTATCGGTGAGAATGATATGAAACCTTGAAAAGGCACAAATTCAAGTCCTTTGCAATAACATTAAATTAAACAAAAAAAATCGATTTTATCATATGACTATCCTGGACTTGAAATATTCTTTATTCTCTTAATAATATAGATTACAAAAACTATTTTTTAGAATCACATAGTTTTGTTCAATCTAAATCCACTCTGTATTTTATTTAAAAACAATTTTTCATAAACTTATGAATCCATAAAAATAAAACAGACGAGACGAACAAAACTTTAAACAACTACTCAAACATGTTATTGTACCAAATCACGTAGCTTGTAGATAATGGTACATACTGGGTAAATTTCTCGAGTAGACCATGCGATGCTGACATGCCGACATGTCAACAGCAACTATGCATCATCGAATGTCTCTTGCACGTTATAATAGCATCATCATCACTATTATCATTATCATCATCATAGAGGTGCTACGGGTACTTACACACACGTACTATAATTATAATAATAATCATGATAATAATAATAATGATTTTATTAATAATAATAACGGGGACGATGGCGATAATGACAGTAGTAATGCAGTTAGCAGAAATAGCTGGGCAGTATATCTAATCCACAAATGTTGATTATCATTACAATAATCGTAGACCGGATAAACTTCCTGTTAATTCGATGGAAACTCAAAATCTACTGTCTACGATACGTCTGCCCGTATCGTTTCCTAAATCATCTAATCATCTGGTTTCCCGATTGTCACGCACTCTCTTTACCGAGCACTAATTTATGGCGCCTTCATCTTCAATCAACCTCCATTTCATTTGATATGAATTCTAGAGTACTCGGCTGGTACGTCGCTGTTACTGATAATAAATATACGATGGACGGTAGTTTGATGGACTTGGATCAATCAATTTTGCTATACTGTCTCTGACATTTATTTAATTTACTGTTCATTAGTTGTCAGTGTTCTAGGGGTATTGATTTGTAATTAATGTGAATGTGAAGTTATTTTAAATAGAATTGTATAGGAATTTTAATTAAGTCAAATTTAGCCTTTAAGATGGTTAGAAAAAAAAATTCAAATTTTTTATAAAATAGAATTCAATAGTGTTAAAAATATTCAGAAGTATTAAAAAGAATTCAATTTTTTTGTTTTTTTATCAAGGATAAGTAATTGAAAAAAATTGAATCTTAAAATATGGAAATTTTTAAAAACTCAGAAAGTTTATTACTAAATCATTAGAATTTCTCATTTAAATATGTATGATATTCTTTATAGTTATGTAAAATTAATATAAATAAATACTATTTCGCGATAGAAAAATTAATTTAATCCAGGAGAAATAGTATTTTTCTTATCTAGGGCAGGAAAATCAGAAATGTCTCAGATTACATGTAATTGTTGACCGAGGCGAAGCCGAGGTCGACAAACATGTGATCTGAGGCTTTCTTATTTCCTGCCCGTGGTGAGAATACTATGATAGGCCTGATTAGACATGGACAGGCCTGATCAGACCTGAGTGTATTTAACGCTTCAGAGATTAAAGACATGAAAGAGACCGGTTAACCACTACCGAGGTCGTGGTATGACAGGTGAATCGACACGTTGCAATAAAAAATTTTTTAAAATCAAAAGTCTGCTGAATTATTTTTGCTCTTTTTGGCTTGAGTAAATCCAGGTTGCACCTGGTTAACTGCTCCAGGAAAACTGCTCCTGGTAGGTCGTAATTAATGAGTTGAGTTACATCCTGCAGCCTGCAGGTCACTGGCATTAAGAAACTCCTTAAATTTCATTTTTAAGAAAAAAAAAAGACATCCAATCTGCAAGATCGGAATGTTTATTTTTTAAATATCTCGGAAATTATGCAAGAAATTGAGGAAGCAATAAAAACCTTTTTTGAAGAGAATTTAAGTAATTTTTGTTACAAAAAAGCTTTTGATATTTTTAATATTTACTGACACGGAAAGAAAAATTTTTTGACTGGAGAGTAAAATTCTTGGCTCAAGAAAATTTGTCAGGTGCCTGAAGGAAGACCGAAGTAAAAATTTTTCTTGAAATTTTATTCTTGGTGGAAGTAATTTATTTCTTAATTTAAATGATCTTAAATACTTTATATAAATTTTTATACACGGAAAAAAGTAAACTGTACTATATAACAGTCGATTTATAATAAGTAGTGATCAACTGCTAAAAATTACCATTTCTAACAGTAAAATCGTGATTTTACTATTTACTTTATAATATTTACCATTTAAACTTTACAATTTACTCTTTACATGGAAGTAAATACTATTTCAAACAGTAATATTTGTTATGTAAATGTCTAAAATGTTTAAGTATAATAATTAAGAATTAAGACTTTGATATTTATCATTTGGTACCTAAAAAATGATCTTATGATATGTAAAAAGTATAAAATAAAGTTAGTAAATTTCTAATACAAGCAACGTCAATATTTACAAAGTAAAATGGTAAATTTTAAACGCAATAACGCTAAAAATCAAACTGTAATTATTGACTTGCTTGGACTGGTAAAATGTATATTTTAAAAGTATAATTTTTACTGTTTCAAATGTTAAATTCTCCCAGAGTGAGACCCCCTTCTCTTTCATCCGAGTTCCCCTTCTCCTCATAATATGGACTATATATTGAAATGACAATTTTTACTGTTTGAAACTGTAATTTTTTAAGATGAAAGAGTCGTTACTCACTATAGTGACAGCTACTAATCACTTATTTTGGATATTAAATTATAAATTGTGGCTTTTATGCTTTCTACATTAAGTTCTGTAATATTTATATTTTTGCCACTCTGATGTCCGCTTTACTGTTTGAAAATATAAAAATTAACCGGAATCCGAGTGAATATTACAGTTTACTTTTTTCCGTGTATCAAATCTGTTTATTTAATCCAACAATTAATAAATACGAAAGTCATTTTATTACTTTATTTTATTAAATAAGTAAAAATGATCAATTGTTAAATTGTTCAAATTATTTTAAATTAAGATAAAGAATTTTGACGAATATTCGGAAGACTGAAATAAGTTAAAAAAAATTTTAATATTTTTTGGACTTTATAAGTTACGCGCGAACTTCTTTGAAAATAAAAATTGTTAATCTAAAAAATTGGTTTAAATAAATTTAACTTGATTGAAAAATTTTTAAATTTAATTCCAGATAATTAAATTGATTTTTTTTTTAAGTTAGTGTGTCTTATTAACTAAAAGATATATCATTTTATTTAAATAACGCGATTTAAATTCCAAATTTTTTCATTGAAAATTAACTCGCGATTTTTGACAATGTATCGAGGCTAAAAGCAATGAATATCGATCTCGCGACTAAAACGCGGAAAATAAAAGCATAAAAGACAAGAGAACTATATTGGCACTTGAAGCATTTAAACGGCGTTATCTTGACGATGGACATCGCGGGAAAAGTCATTGGATACTCACATTGCGGATTAACCGAATTATACGATGCAAACTGGACGATATATGTACAGGACAATTAAATGGTATCTGACTATCTATGTATGCTCGGCACCCCTTTTCTCCCCTTTATCTTTCTCTTTCTCTTTCTGATTCACCGGAGGGCCGAGGGCCGTTTATGTTCCCAATACAACAGAGATATAACCGCCTGCTATCAGTATAGAGAAATTTAAATTCAATGGAGTTTCAATGGCCATTCGTGAACTGACATTCAACCCTATCCTCCATCGTATACACTATAACACTATTCTCTCCACCCTCTATTCTATATATGTGTATATATCCGACCAATACACATTCAACACCTCTTGCTAATCCAATTGAAGCTAGAAACGATCGCGTGTCACTTGACAAATCTAATTGCTACTCAAATTTAACCATTATCCAAGTACGAGTACGAGTATATACCAGCGCCGACCACCGATGACTTTAAATTCATTTATCACGGCAACTTTAATGCCTGAAAAAGGAGGGAAAAAATGAATTTGAATTTTTTACGGACCAGTAGAATGAATAATTGGATTGATCACTGACAATTCAAGCTTTTTTTTGTGGGATTATACCGAGTTTTTTCATTTTTTCAGCTGAGCAATGGGAAGAGCAAAAGGAATTTTCTATGAGGAGTGATGTGAACTTTTTTAAGTTTTTTTTTTTAGTTTTATTTTCTTGTAGATTTATTTCATTTGAAGTTCATTTTTGATATTGATAAAAAATTTTATTTTGAGGAAAATATTTTTCTTTTTTTTAAGTGAAAAAAAAAATTATCAAAAATGTAAATTAAACTAGTTTTATTATTCTTTCAAACTTTTTTTTTTATTGAAATTTTGGTTACAAAAATTAATATTTTTTTTTTCAATTTATTTTATAGCTTTTAATTAAAAATTTCTATGATTTTTTTTCATATTTTAGGTGTAAAAACAAAAAATTTATAAAAAACTTAAAAAATATCAATTTTTATATTTTTTTTATCATTAAAAAAAGAGTTACATAAAATTTTTTAAAAAATTATTCTACACAGAAAAAAAGGTTCACTTTGAGCCAAGAAAATATTTTTCTTCTTAATTATTTTCTTTAGCGAACAAAAAAATTATTGACACAAGAAATTTCACTTATTCCAACAAAATTAATTCTCTTGCTAGCCAAGAAATTTTTCTTTCTGTTAAAAAACTTCAAAAATATCAATTTTTTATCAAAACAAAAATTACACTTTAAAATTTTTTAAAAAATTATTTTATTTTTAAAGAATTACAAAAAGAATGACTGTTAAAAAAATATTGTGATTATTTTTTATTATTTAAAGTATTGCTTTATAAACCTACAAATTTTCTCCATAAAAAGTACAAAAAAAAAAAAATTAATATATTTTTCAAGTGCATAAAAAACATTTTTATATCTTCAGTTCAATTTTGCACCAACTATAGCTTTGAATTCAATTGGAGTTGAAGTCTCAGTATCTTCCCCGCAGGACTCTTGGGAATCGCGTCGATGAATTTCACACCTCCCCTCAAATGTTTCTGAATTGATACTTTATCTGGAAACAAAACATCGAAATTACAATATGACATCATCACTCATGAATATTAATATCAACATCACCAACAATAAATGATTGATGATATTGATGATAGGTAATCTGCAATCAAATGAAACAAAATTACCATCGACAAATTTGCGTAATTGCTCTCCCGTAACATCGGACTGGGATTTTTTAACGACAAAAGCAACAGGAACCTGGTCCCCGGTGGCGTCATACTTTCCAATCACCGCAGCGTCATTGACATCTGGATGTGACAGGAGTATATTCTCTATTTCGGCTGGAGCTATCTGGAATCCTTTGGATTTAATGAGTTCCTTGAGCCGGCCGACGATAAATAAATCACCGTCGTGGTCGAAATAACCGAGATCACCGGTGTGCAGCCAGCCATGATGGTCAATCGTTTGACCAGTTGCCTCAGGATCATCTCTGTATCCCAGCATGACATGATCACCCTTGAAACACAGCTCACCCGTTTCGTAAGCCTTCAAAGACTTTGATATCTCGGGATCAATAACTTTGCAGCATACACCAGATGTTAGGTTTCCAATTGTCTCAGATTTCTGACTGTTTCGATCACTGAGACACACTGCTACTGATAACTCAGTCATCCCGTATCCAGTTCGGATTTTCGCCCAAGGAAATCGAGACTTCACTGCTTCTCGGACCTGTCGGTAACAATGTTTTGTCTTCAGAAATACATGGCAATTTAAAGTTCTTTTCCAAAAGAAAATTTCTATTATGTTGGCGTAGAAAATTTTACCATGTCAATATCGGAAGTATTTTTGAGCAGCATTGTAAGATTTTTTATGCTAACACATTCATTTTTACTATGCAGCTTTGGAAAAATACACGGAAAAAAGTAAACTGTAATATTCACTCGGATTCCGGTTAATTTTTATAGTTTCAAACAGTAAAGCGGACATCGGGGTGGCAAAAATATAAATATTACAGAACTTAATGTAGAAAGTATAAAAAGCCATAATTATAATTTAATATCCAAAATAAGTGATTAGTAACTGTCACTATAGTAAATAACGACTCTTTCATCTTAAAAAATTACAGTTTCAAACAGTAAAAATTGCCATTTCAATATATAGTCCATATTATGAGGAGAAGGAGAATTCAGATGAAAGAGAAGGGGGTCTCACTCTGGGAGAATTTAACGTTTGAAACAGAAAAAATTATACTTTTAAAATATACATTTTACCAGTCCAAGCAAGTCAATAATTACAGTTTGATTTTTGGCGTTGCGTTTAAAATTTACCATTTTACTTAGTTAATATTAACGTTGCTTGTATTAGAAATTTACTAACTTTATTTTATACTTTTTACATATCATAAGATCATTTTTTAGGTACGAAATGATAAATATCAAAGTCTGAATTCTTAATTATTATACTTTAACATTTTAGACATTTACATAGCGAATATTACTGTTTGAAATAGTATTTTCTTCCATGTGAAGAGTAAATTGTAACGTTTAAATGGTAAATATTATAAAGTGAACAGTAAAATCACGATTTTACTGTTTGAAATGGTAATTTTTAGCAGTTGACCATTACTTATTATAAATCGACTGTTATTTATTACAGTTTACTTTTTTCCGTGCAGAAAAAATTCTTATTCTATATAAGTAAAATTTCTGTAAATTATAGTTATTTTTTCGATGTTTTCATAGAAAAACGCATGTATAAACATGATGAAAATTCCTAAATTTTTTCCACGTAAAAATATCATATATTCCCACTTTTCCTCCGAGTTAAATCCAAAATCCTAAAACTTACTTCTTTTGACAACGGAGCAGCGCCACAAATGATCTCCTTGAGCGATCGGAAGTCATACTTGCTTACAATCGGACTTTTGGCCAAGAATATCATGATCGGCGGAACCAGCGGTAAAGTATTTACTTTAAACTTTTCAATGGCCCGGCAAAATAATTCCGGTTCGAACGACTTCATCACTACCGCAGTGGTGCCCATCGTTATGATTGACATCATCATCGCGAATCCGTACCCGTGATAAAACGGCAAGAATATCAAGTCTATTGATTTATCCTGAAACTCTCGGAATTGTCGTGATCTGAAAAGATAGCACTTTATTTTTTTAATGAATCTCAGGGGTGTGAGAAATATTTTCCTTTAATTTACCTGAAAGTATACGAAATTGTCAAGGCATTGTGGTGAGACAGCATGACACCTTTTGGCAATCCAGTTGTTCCGCTCGAGTAAAGAATAACGATTTCCTGTTCTTTGGGTTTTTTAACGCTCTCGAGTTGAAAGTTTTGATAGAAATTATTATCATAATTGTTATTATCAAAGTTTGATAATATGCTATCCAATGTTTCTAATTGAATCAATTCAATTTTCCAAGGTAATGATTTAGTGGCGTGAAAAATTATATCTCTTGTTTTTAACGATACAAAAATCAGCCGTGGGCGTGATATTTTGCAGCACCGTTTTATTTCATCTGTAATTGTAAAACAAAGAGTTGTTTGAAAAAGGTTTAATTTACAAATTATTTATTCTGTTTGTAACTTTGAATTATTTGGAACAGTTTATTGTTAAACATTATTTTCATTGGAATTAAATTACCTTCCAAATAATCTGGATTCATTGGCGCAATAGCGGATCCGCGATAAATAGTTCCAAATACTGCGATAAAATAATTCAGAATATTCTCACTGGATATCGCAACTGTGTCGCCAACTTTGATGCCCTTTTGTTCCAAATATTTAGATAGCTTAACGCTTTTTTCAAGTACCTCGTAATTTGTTAAAGTTTCTCCTGTTTTGGCGTCGACCTTTGATACATTATACAGTCATTAGAAAAAAAGATAAGATTGAAAATTTTGATTTATTTTATTAGTTTAAAAGTTTTTGGAATATTTTTTCTATAATTGACAGTAACTTTGTAAATATGCATTTTTATGAAAAATTTAACGAGATAATTTTTAGAGAATTTAAGGAGATCCACGCGAAGTAGTCAAATTTTTAAAACTTCCTGAGACTTTGTAAATTCAATCTACGTAGCCTAATAATTAATAAAAAAATTAAAAAACAGTAGGTTTCCGAGGTAATTAATCAAATAATTAAGTTTGAAAATTGTTATTTTTACATGTAGGTAAATGAAGATTCCACCAGCCGTGTATTTGGTTAAGAATTTAATGCAATTAACGATTTAAAAAAAATTTTATTTTTCATTGAATTTGATTGAAAAAATAATAAGCTTTCGATTAAAACAATAAAAAAGTAGGTTTCTTTTTAATTGTTTAGGTAAATTACGTTATTAACTAATTTAAAAATTAATTTTAAGATGCATAACTAAAGTATTTCTACGTATTATTTTTTTATAAACATTATTTACACTAGGAGGGTACTTGGATCTCCTTAACGAGCAACAAAAAAGGTCTGATTGAAAATTATTTGATTTTTTTTTAATTTTAAGTGTATACAACCCCTTAAAAACATACCTGAACAACATGAAGTGGCGATTGACGCAATCGGTCGACAATATATTGCCCGAACGAAATATTCGGGATTTCAAAGCTCGGTGGTCCACATACTGTTATTTTTTCCTTCATTTTTATTGTTTCATCAATTTATTACTTCTATTGAATTTTAAACGGATAATTCCCTATCTATTAGAACTTAAACTAGAATGCTGAACGCAGAAAATTAAAAAAAAAACTTCATATTGACTCGGAATTAAGGGTTTGTTTGCTGTAACAAATTGCTCGAAAACAATCGTGAAATTCCTGAACTTTCTTCTTTTTCTTCAGATAAGTTTTGCTGGAAAAAAATATAAAAACAAACTTTGCATTTAAATAATATTATGATTTTTTTTTTAAATATAAGTTTCAGTTTTCCGCAGAAATTTATTGTAAAATTAATTCTTTAATTAAAACTATAAATAAATACTCAGATTAGGCGTTTTAGATTTATTTAAAACACTTAGATACATTTATCATCTTCAAAAAATTCAAAGAAAAGTCATTCTTAAAGAATATAATGCTTTTAAAAGATTCATTTCAATTATTTAGTTTTTCCAAATCACAACAAATAGCTCTCCAATCAATTTTTGATTTTTTGGACATTTTGAACGTGCTGATCATTGATCATTCACCAAGTATGCTTGCTGGAAGTGTGTTTTGACCATCCTTCTTCAGTTCTGTTGTGCTGGGAATTAATCACCTCCAAACCGTATCCAAGAGGAGTAACAGTTGGTTTTTCAGCTTCATTATTCGAAGGCTGGGGGTTTTTCGGTTTTTCGTTTTCATGGAAGGCAGTAAACAGTGGAACATGGCTAGGATGATTTGGGTTGTTTGAGTATTGATAACCGGGATAGTTTCCAGAAAGTCCTGGAGGTGTTAGTGGATTGTATCCAGAATTTGGATTTTGAGCTGGTGATGGATTGTATCCAGGACTTTGAGCTGGTGCTGGATTGTATCCAGAATTTGGATTTTGAGCTGGTGATGGATTGTATCCAGGACTTTGAGCTGGTGCTGGATTGTATCCAGAATTTGGATTATAAGCTGGTGATGGATTGTATCCAGGACTTTGAGCTGGTGCTGGATTGTATCCAGAATTTGGATTATAAGCTGGTGGTTGATAAGAAAAAGGTTTTGGATTTTGAGCTGGTGGTTGAGGTTTTGAAAATTGAGCTGGACGATAAGTTGGTGTATTTGTAGTCACTGGACACGGAGCTGGTTTTGGACACTGACAGTTACATGGTGGTGCAGCTACAATATGATCAAAGAAAAATAAAGTAATTAGTTTTAGAATTTTTATAAATTTAAAATTGAGATCTTTGTAAAAAATTTTTCTAATTTGACCAATTTTCAATTCAAAAATTCTATACTTAAGTTATATTAAAAAAAAAGTTTGGAAAATCCAATAGTGCACGCCTCATAATCTCATTTTTCACAATAAAATTGATTAAAATAAAAGATAAAAAGCAAAATAATAAAAAACAAAAAACTCTGCTATGGTTTAGTGGCACCATAACTCTAAGGTGAGGAAATAAAATACTATAATAAAATGTATAGATAGATATACAGAAAAATCCACAGTCATATATTAGTTTTTTATAAATAATAATTTAACGACAGTGAATTGAACGCTCATATTAATTGAAAAAATTCGTCGTGTGTTACTTTAGATAATAAAAAAAAATAAGTGTACTCATATTAAGCTGTAAGTGCGATATAAATAAAAACAAATCGATTTCAGTTTCGAGAAAACTGCTTTTTTTGAAATGTTGAAAGTAGAGCACAACCTCAACGCTTCGCTTATGAGGCGTGCAATATGTAAAACAGCCAAGATAGCACGATAATGCGCAAGCGCCACTAGTGGGATAAATGTACACAATATATATAGATATACAGTCTTCGAGTTTTTGTTTTATTTTATTAATTGTAGATAAACGACACTGAATTACCTAGCCATTCGCATTCGGTGACCTACAATTTAAAAAAAAAATTTAAGCTAGTTGGGCCCAAAAAGCAAAAATTCAAGAAATCTCCCAAACTCCGTATAGAAGTATTTAAATACATAATACACACGCTGTTAAAATTTAGAGACGATTTACCACGTTTAACCGAAGACAATTACAATTGAATATGACATTTTTACACAGGCGGTATGGGAAAAGAGAGAGAAAACCGCGAAGTTTTATTATTTTTGTATTGAAGAAATTTTAAGATTTTCACAAAAAACTAATATTACTTAGATTAATACATGTATAATTATCCTACAAAATTCTGGAATTCCCTACCAAATAGTTTTTGAGAAATCATTGATAAACTAGTGAAGTAAACAAATAAAGTCATGCGTAGAAGTAAGTGAGCGATAGCCCGTAAGAGAGGCGACACTAGCGAATGAAAAAGACAGCAGTAGCATAAACTATAGGTTGGGAAAGAACTACCTTAACTCAATTAAAGCATTTTTTCGCAAGTTACAGTGTTTCCGGAGTTTCATACATGACGAACAGGAAAATTTTTTGACCTATTCTGATGTTTTTTTTCGTTTCTATTCCACTAAATCAATTTTTGAAAATTGTCAAATTAATCTCCATTACATTATCTTTACAATAGTATGCAAAATATCTTGACTCCGTAAAATAATAAGACTATATAATAAACATAGTTGCCGAAATGAGGCGAAATGATGCTTCGCATCATGAGTCGTGCAATTTTTATATCAAAAATGGTATACTAATTTTATATTTTATATTACAAAATTTTTCACGAGTGACTAAAAATAGCTCATATATTTCATTAATTCAATAACTTCTTCAAATTTCCAAAATACCTTTCAGTGGAGCAGGTTTTGGTTCCGGTTTGCATCCGCCTCCACTACAAGCCTCTGAACAGATCTGCGAAATAAATTATTCCATTATTCTTAATCCATTGATGAATTCTTATCAAAAATGATTAAAAATTTTATAAGATAAAAGCAATCTAACTTACTATTGAAATATTACAATTTTATTTATATTAACTTACCGCATTAACTGCGATGAATAATAGAATTACTATAAATTTAGTAGATGTCATTTTTAATTATAGCAATGATCTAAGTAAACAGTTCCCCAAAACAGGTAGTACTGTGTTAAATCACTTCGACCCACTAGCCTTATACCAATACTAATTTCCAGTGAATCATATATTATTATCTTTTCTTTGTTCTCTATCCGCTGATGATGTCAATAGACACACACCATCAAATTGTTAAAAAACAGAGCAATTAACTTATCTTCGAAAAATAGACACTTCGGGAACTATAAGTCGGCCGTTCTAGTATTCTATTTTTATTTTTACATTTTATTTACATTTTATTTACATTTTACAATTCTATTTCTACACAAAAATGATGAAAAATTAAAGAATTAAAGAAAAAAAAGGCCATTCGGCAGCCGAAATGGAAGTAGATTTCATAAATAAAGATGAAAATATATATAGATTTATAGGAGATATATTGGACAAATCAATCGAAGAAACGACTGCAAGAGTAAAATTTCATTGAAACCTACAGACGAATAGGTTATTTTAAGTTTAGAAAAATGAAATGGTACGAAAATTAAAGCTGGTTTAATGGGCTTTAAAATGCAATTTACAAAAATTCGATAAGTTATTTCATTCAAAAGTTATGCGCGAAAGAATCAGCCAAAAAATGAAATTAATGTAAAATATGAAAAAAATATTGAAAAATAATTTTATTACATCCAAATCGTTGTTAAAACATCAAAATTAACAATTTTTCAAAAATTGATTAAATTGTTCGAATAATTAAATAATTTTAATTTTTCATGCTAAAGAATTTAAATAAAAAAAAAAACTATGTATTTTTTAGACTTTCAATTTGATCAAATATAATTTATTTTTGATAATTTTATAAAATTAGAACTCTTTAATTCTCAAGAATTTTTTCACTTGTTCCAAAAAATTTATTGTTTTCCTTGTAGTAATTTTTGTTTAAGAATTTTTGTCCTGAGTTAAACTAACCTCTCTAATATTGTAGCATCCAAGTCAAATCTTTGTTAAATTTCAAATTTTTTTGACCCATTTTAAATCTTTTTTTCTAAGTAAACACTAAAAAATTTTTAATTTTTCAAATATTGTCAGTCCACCTCATCATTCACGATGGTGTCTGCTAGAATTATAACAATTTTGGCGCTTATAACAGCCAATGCGGTAAGTTTGTTTCAAATATTTATTTACCTATATTTCAATCCAAATTTTGATAATTTGTAAATTTTTAAATAGTGTTTGATGAAAATTTCTGACACTAAAGAATTAATTCAATTATTTACTACGCAGATTTGTTCGGAGGCTTTTGAACACTATTTTTGGGAACAGAAACCGTATTCAGGATATCAATATATGAATAACTGGGCATCAAATTATCCTGGCTTCTATCAAGGTTATTGGAATAACTATCCATCATATTATCCGACCAACTACAATCAAGGTTATCTGAATTACTACAATCCAAGTTTTTCTAATTGGAATCAAGAATACTTTGGCAGCAATCTTTAGCCGTCTTATCGTAAAGTTTATACCGATGGGCCGAAGACGACCGTTAAAGAGTATGATGTACCTACAGCAAATCGTTTCGACAAAAAATATCTTGGTGGTCTTTTAAACTTACACTTTGATCATACTGGGAGAAAAACAGGCAAGGAAACGAAAACTACGCAAAGTTGGATATGGTGATCCCATTAAAAATCTGAAAAATTTCTCGGGAGCTACAACGAATTCCGAAAATAATGGCGTTGTCTGTATTTTGATCTTGACTTTGAGTATTGTTTTATAACTTTTATAAGAATTTATGAAAATTTTGAACTTATGTATCAGAAGATATATCGAATGAAAATGAAAAATCTATTTAATGAGTTATTTATTTTAAAGTTAAAAATCTGATAGTTAACTAGCAACCTGCAATCAGTATTCGACTGCCGAATTATCAAAGAGCTTAAAATTTTGGAATAAACAACTTAACGGGAAGTAAAAAAAATATCTCAAAATTTTTATTTTCTTTTTTTTTGCTTAAATTTTTCGATGACCATAAATTCTAATTTCAAGGACTTTAAGATTTTCAGGTGTACGTTAAAAAATAAGTTTGATAAAAATTTGAGTATAATATTAAAATTAATATTTAATGCATTCTTAATGACCTCAAAGGCATTAAAGTAAGAATCAGACAATTGATTGGGATTATTTTTCTAGAAGAAAAGACCAAATAAGGAAGGGAACAATAATCTCTTCAAGTAATAAAAGAAAAATATTCCCAACAGATGTGCACTCAAGATAACCGAAAAATACTCTCCGATAATAATAATTAATATTATTTCTGATGTTTAAACTAAGTTCTATTTTGTTAAGATAGAATTTTATGTAATTTACTAAAATTTTGAATCGAAGAAATAAAAAATTTTAGGATAACCAAAATTTATTAAAATTCATATACCTAACTTACTAAACTTTTTCCTTTGTGTAAAATATTCAAAATTAAAATTTTTACAATAAATTGATTAATTAAAAAAATTTCTAAAAATTGTACAGTCAAAAGAAAATATTTCCGATGACTAAAACTTACAGTTGGTAATTACTAAACAAAATTTAAATGTGAAAATAAATGAAGGAATCACTCAAAATCTAAAATTTATTTAAGATCTCAAAATTAGTTAAAATCTAAAATTTATTTATTTAAAACTTAAAATTTATCGAAAATCTAAATGTCAATTGAAATCTAAAAATTAGTAAAATGAATAATTAACAAATTTATTAGAATAACCCAATTTAAAATATTTAAAACTAAAATTTCTGTAATTAGATTAAATAATTTTGGTAAACTCTTGCAAATTTCTTTCCTTCCTTTTTTTTTAATAATTTTCTTTTTCTAATTTTTTTTAATAATTTTCTTTTTCTAATTTTTTTTAATAATTTTCTTTTTCTAATTTTTTTTAATAATTTTCTTTTTCTAATTTTTTTTAATAATTTTCTTTTTCTAATTTTTTTTAATAATTTTCTTTTTCTAATTTTTTTTAATAATTTTCTTTTTCTAATTTTTTTTAATAATTTTCTTTTTCTAATTTTTTTTAATAATTTTCTTTTTCTAATTTTTTTTAATAATTTTCTTTTTCTAATTTTTTTTAATAATTTTCTTTTTCTAATTTTTTTTAATAATTTTCTTTTTCTAATTTTTTTTAATAATTTTCTTTTTCTAATTTTTTTTAATAATTTTCTTTTTCTAATTTTTTTTAATAATTTTCTTTTTCTAATTTTTTTTAATAATTTTCTTTTTCTAATTTTTTTTAATAATTTTCTTTTTCTAATTTTTTTTAATAATTTTCTTTTTCTAATTTTTTTTAATAATTTTCTTTTTCTAATTTTTTTTAATAATTTTCTTTTTCTGTACTAAGCTAGAAAAAATCTATATTAACCTACTAAAAATAATTTGTAATGGATTTTATTAAAGTTAAATACTTAATTAATAATAATTAATAACTATTTATAATAAAAATTAACAAAATTATATTAATTTTGTTATTTGAATGTTTAAATACTAAAATCACCAATTATTGACCGAAGAAACCCAATAAATGACCGACCGTTCTCCAATTAATTGACCGCTCAAATAATTATAAGTAATTTTGTAAACTACATGTATGTAATTAAATTTATGCAGTACTTTTGAAGTATTAACGACATCTTTAACAAAACTAAACACACAATATAATTTTAAATCGTACTTTTTTATAAAATAATATAAATAATAGCAACAATTAACATAAAGTCACATTTCTTTAGGTCACAAATAATCACAAATTCATTTTAATGACGATAATTCTTCTGATTAACTTGAAATTTTTTTATTCTTCTCCTTCTTTTTTTCAATTAAAGATTTTTTACTAGCTTGTAACTCTTTTTGATTTTTTTAATTGCTTAGCAATTTTTTCTTCTAATAATTCGTCCTTTGATATAACCGTTCACTAAAAAAATTAAAACAAAATAAAATTTAATAGTTAAAAAAGATTTTAAGTATTATTTTAAGTATAAATATACATTTTATAATGATTATTTTTATATTTACAAAATATATTGAATGACTAAAGTACTTTAAAAACTTGACAGATTTAATTTTGAGGTGAAGAAGTTAGTATTATAAATATACGGTCATTAATTGAATTGTGATAAAATCAGAG